AAAAAAAAAAAAAAAAACTCTAGAAGATAACATTGGAAAAACCCTTCTAGACATTGGCTTAGGCAAGGATTTCATGACCCAAAAACAAATGCAATAAAAACAAAGATAAATAGCTAGGAGTTAATTAAACTAAAGATCTTTTGCATGACAAAAGGAACAGTCAGCAGAGTAAATAGACATCCCACAGAGTGGGCGAAAACCTTAGAAATCTATACATCCGACAAAGGACTAATATCCAGAATTTACAACGAACTCAATTCAGCAAGAAAAAAAAAAAATCCCATCCAAAAGTGGGCTAAGGACATGAATAGACAAGTCTCAAAAGAAGATATACAAATGGCCAACAAACATGCAAAAATGTTCAACATCACTAATGATCAGGGGAATACAAATCAAAATCTCTGATCTGCAAAGCCCTCGATCCTAACCAATAATTACAAAACAGCCTGATGATCCATCTCCATAGAGGGGGCAGGCACCTACATTTCCTGACAGCCATGTTCCTTCTTGCTAGATGTCTTCCTTACTATCCACAGTTTACTACCTGATCTTCTAGGTTTATCAAGAGAGGAACCTAGGATGACATGTTCTCTTCTCCCCATCAGACTCTTTCAAACCAAAGCAGCACTTTGGGGAAAAGCATTGTTAACTGATTGCTGGATCATATGGTAGTTCTACCTTTAATTTTGTGAGGATCTACAAACATTTTTTAAAATGAAAAAACTAGACAAATAGTTTAATCCCAAGGTCACAAAGCACAGAAGTCACAAACCTGTGACAGCACACCTTCCATCATACCACACAGCCTTCCTACCCCAAGGCATGATCAAAATATGCCCTAGAATATAATAAAAATCAATATACAGTATGTATAAATAAATATACACGGCAAATACAACAGAAATAATACTTGGAAATGGACGTGGGTTGTTTAAATGTATCATATTACCTATTATGCCGAAATTCATCACTGCTTCCTTCGGAAGTGTCACTGAGTCCCATAGAGTAGTCTTGGGAAAATAAATAAGTGAAATTCATGAGCGCAAAACATATACTTCCATAAAAATGATCTCTAAAGGCTTAGTTCTAACCAAGAATCATTACCTCAGCATTGTCTATATAAAAAGTGACACTCTGACTTCCCAGGTTGAAGTCGATCCAAAATTTCTCTAATTTTTCATCCGCTGGTTTTCTCATCTGTAAGAGATCATTTCAGTATGAATTATACACATAAAAATCATGCTATAGGGTCAGATAAACATTATTCCTTTGAAAACAGAATTTGTGCTTTTCCTGGAACAGCATTCTCCTAGCATTATAGGGCCTCTCTTTATTGACTGACTCTTTTGTGCAAACCAGAAAGATCTCAGTTTTATAGAACTCAGCCATTTCTCCTCACCCCTCCAAAAATCCCACTATCTGTAGCATATTTAATAGATATTTAAATATGTCACATGATTCTAGCTACACAATTTTTTTCTAATGAAAATCACAGAGAAAACAGTTCTATGTTGAATCAGTAACAATCCACACTGCATATGGATGGAAACTTCCAGAGAAGGAGATACTGTAACCAAACATGAGTGATTTGCCATCTATCTTCCATTAGAGTAGAGCTAAAACGTGAAGACTTCAAATTTCCTTCATTTTAATTATGCTAAAATAAATAGATGCTTATAGTTAAAACAGGGGAAGAAAGATTCTAACAGTATGGTGTTTATAGAAACAGTAAACATCTTCTCTGCCCCTCAGCTTTTCGTAAGTACCTTTCCATAGGCACCATTAACAATGCCTTTGTT